CATGCTTGGAGAGCTACAGATAAGTCGAATTAGTTCCTGTGATCTCGGCCAATTTGCACATTCGAACCGATAGCAAACTGAAACTCGGTTACTGTCCTAAACTGGCAGTCGTGGGGTTTGTGTTCAGACCGCTGAACTCGGGGCGCTTGGGGAGATGCGTTTGAGTCCCCACTGGGCCGTGAAACTCAGGGAGTGACTTTGGACCAGGCACACTCTGGGCCCAACCTACCTCACAGGGTTGTTGTGACAATAACATGGAGGAGAACCTGGCGAGAAACCTGGGCCTCCATGAAAGATGGGGGGAAATGGAATAAAGATGTCGGAATCATCACCATCACTGCACCATCAACACTTTGCAATGGTCTGAGATGCACAGATCAGTGAAGATAATGTTCAAAGGCATTCTTATGGGGCAAAATGCTTGCGAAATATATGTGCTTTCGGAACATCGAATGCAAAAATGCATGCGTTCGGAAGAGTACATCAAAATATGCATGGATTGTCCTGCAAACTTTGGGAAAAAAGGGATGTAAGATTGGAAAAATCCTGAACAAATGTAAGACTGGGGGGCTGAGAAGCAGAAATGGGTGGATTCACCCACCCCGGGAGCAGGCGCAGCCCCAGCGCCTGCAGCAACGGGAGGAATTCCCACCAGCCTTGCCTGCTGACTCAGGTGCTTCTGCAGACAGGCCGACTTATCTCACTGCTTTCTTCAGCATCTTGCACTCCAGCACTGATTTGTTATATATGCAACCAAAGCATGAGTAATAAGCTCCAGATTATTTTTATTTAAAAGGCAGACACCACTAATTAAGCCTATAGATAAGCTATAATAATATATGCCATTCTAATGTAAGGACGTGCACCAGCTGCTAACGTGTTTCATTTTTCAGGCTGAATGGAAGTTATGCACGGATGCATGGGGACCCTCCGCTGCCGCCACGAACGCCCTTCGCTTCAGTATTGTCGCCCTTCCCATATTTTAATTCAGGCTGAAAGTTGCCTAGCGAGAACTTTGAGCTGAGCTGCACTTTCCCTCCCACTGTTTTTGCTTCCATATGGTGCACTCAAAGCACTCGAGAAAATATTAAACTCAAGAAATCACGAGAAAAGCAACCCTACCCCAAAGCTGGACTGACCCACCATAAATGCCCACAAGCGGGCCTTTCTCAGCCTCATCCCATCCAGCTGTGTTGGAGAACACCCCCCCATCATTCCTCAGGCGTAGTCGGATGGGAGCTGTAGTCTAGCATGTCTAGAGAGCACCAGGCTGGAAAGGAGCTGAGAGGGCCCCCAGTGGGTGCGGCTGGTGCTCTGCGGATTCTGGGCTCGGGCCATTTAGGGCTGCCCAGGTCCAAGCTGGCACGCCTTGGTCCTCATTGCCCGCTTCCCTGGCTCAAGACCCCCAGCAAGAGGGGGGCTCTTTGATTCGGCCGTAGGAGCTGCGTCGGTCCTTCCCGAGGCGCAGAGAAGGGGTCGGAAGGCGCTGCGCGAGGCGTGCCAGGGGGTGCCCTTGAAAGTGCCGTCGAGTCGAAATGGGGCAGGACCATCCCCTGAGCCACAGAAGGCGGCTAGACATAAATTGCTCCGGACCAGATAGCAATCTTGTCGCTGTCGCTATTAATTCTCCCTCAAATAAGCATAGCAGAATATTCGCTCCATCGTAGCAGAGGGCGAACGTGTCGCGCTGGCACAGAGGCAGGAGGAGGTGGCCCAGGCTGTGCCTCGGCAGGGAAGGGATCTGGGCGGAAGGGCACCGACGGACCGAGGCGAGAGCATTGGCGGCGGCGGTGAGCGGCCGGAGGGCCCTTCGCGGGGTGGATTGCGGCACGTGCCCGCCAGTGGGGACGCCTGGCCTGGAGCCACCGCGGAGGCCTCGGGCTCACAAGACCGGCCGAGGCCTCTGGGAAAGAGGATGCTCCGGATGTTTGGCGAGCGCGACGTCACATCACGGCCCCCATGCAGCTCGGTGGCGGTGTCTTCTGAGCCCTCCGGCCAGGAGCAGGCAAAACTGTTGCAGCGAGTCCGGACAGGTGGCACGTCCTGACTCTCAGCGTTGGGTGCCCTGGCCTGTTTCTGAGCTCGTGTCTCGAGCAGTTGGGAACGGCTTCATGGCAGGCCCTGCAGGCCGTGAACGGGTCTGATGTGCGGTGCCACGGCCGCGGTGTTTGCCGCACCGGTGAGATCTCGGCGTGTGGAAGCGCACGAGACCAGCACGGGGTTTCCGCCTCCCGGGCACAAAAGGACCCAGAACAAAGGATGCTACAGAAGGGCCACCTGTCTGAGCCTCTGCATGGTCCCACGGGCGGGCTTGGGCCGGGCGGCTGAGAAGGAGAGCTCAGAGGCTAGTGCAAGCTGCGCTGGTTTCCGCTGGCCACGGCAAAGGCTTCTCCTGCGGATGCAGAGAGCTGGGGGGCTTCTGCCGAGGAGCCAGAACACACCGGAGGCTCACGCGGACCCCTTTGCTCGAGGACGGAGCAATGAGCCCGGGTCCACCGCACCGTGCGGGTCCGAAGCAGCCTGGATGTGCCCGCCGGCGCTCAGCGCTCCCGTCTCCCCCGCGTGATCGCAGGCGGCTCCCTTCACGGCAATGGGCCTATTTGTATGTGGAAGCAGCTTGTGTTATATTGAATAGGCAAACAAGCTGGGAAGACAGAAATCAAATATTAGCTTTCCAAAGCAGCCTTTATGCGGCTGCTTTAACCCGCGGCTGGCACAGCACCCCTGAGCCTGGGCGGCTGCTTGCAGGGACAGGAGACTGTGTGAGGGGCGGGGGCGGGGAAAATCACACGGGAAGGGGCAGAGGCCGCCCAAAGAGGGGGCGAGGAAATCTCCAGGGCCGTGACCTGTGGGTGGGGGTCGCGGGCTGAATTAGAGCATCCCAGCCTGATGTTGGGGGGCTTCCCGAATCACCACAGCATGGAAAACGTCAACGCACCACGGCATCCGGGGCCCCCTGCTGGCAAACGCTGCCACTTCGGAGGCATTCCACCGACCGGCCCATTTCAGCCACTTCTGGTCCCTGACCTGGGTGGGCTTCAGGGGCCAATTCTGGGCTTCAGATCGGATTTTTGGTGCCTTCGCTCAACTCCACTTCCAGTGCACCGTTGGAGGTGCCGACGCACCACGGCATCTGGGGCCCCCCGCTGGCAAATGCTGCCACTTTGGAGGCATTCTGCCGACCGGCCCATTTCGGCCACTTCTGGGCGTCTGGTCCGGGTGGTGATATGCCTCCCCCGTGAAGGCTTGCCTTCGTCTGGCTATTGCCGGGGCAGATGGGTCGGTGGGGGTGCTGCAGTCCAATCCACCCCGCTGGCTTCCCAGGGACAGCTGGTCGGCCGCTGGATGAGCTGGAAGCGGGCCTGGCGGGCGCCTGATGTCCGCCTGCTCCGTTCGCGCCATTTGCAGCTCGCCCGCTGCTCAGATCCAGACCGGCCCCGTCAGAGAGAGCGCCAACGCCGGCACGGACTCCATGGCTTTCCGGAGCCTCTCCTGCCACAGCCCCTCCGTGGCCTCCTGCATCCCGCTTGCGCACGGAGCTCTTTTACACCGGCCACTTTACAGCCCCCAAGACGCCCGAGCAGGGGGTTTTCCTTTGTTTAAAAATCCCCTCGCTCCAACCCCAGCAGTCACTCCGCTCGTTAACTTGGCCGGTTTTATGTTGCAATTGTTGCTCTGGCAGCTGCTGTAAAGGGGCTGAAACGTGCCCTCAGCAAGCAGAACCTAAGCAGAACCTCGTAAGGTGATGCTGCGGGGCAAAGGGCTGATCCTGCCGGGTCCGCAGCCTTGGCCCAGGAAGATGTCAGGCAGGCTGAGGGCCTGCGTGGCCAGCCGGGCCCCACTCCGCTCGCCTGCAAGTAGCCTTGGACAAAGCCTGGTCTGACGCTCTGGAGACATCCCTGGTTTGATGCTTGGGCAAAGCCTGCTCTGATGCCGGCCCTCGGGCTGCTTCCGCCGTGATGCCCGTGGCAACTGGGGCTCCTTACCCACTGCAGCTTTGATTTTGAGCTTTGTAGGAGCCGTGCGTGTTGCTCCAGTGCGGTGACCCTCGGCAGCTCCCCCCCCCCCCCGCCTCCCTCGCGTCGAGCGCCTCTGCTCCCCTGGCAGGTCCCCAGCCAGGCGGCTCAGCGCCTCCAAGCACCGGCTGCCTCCTCATCTCCCGCCCAGGAACGCGTGCTGCCTCTTCCTGGGATGCCCCGATTAATTAGCTGGAGTGTGCTAAACACTCGGCAGATGAAAAGCCCGCCACTGCTTGCAAGGGAGCCCGCTGAGCCGGGCAGAGCAGAGCAGCACAGCACAAGCGACAGCGCCCCGCCGAGCCCCAGCAGCCGCCACCGGAGAGACGGCGGCCTCCCCTGGATGGGCCACGCGGCTTCGACCAGGCGCCCGCCAGACTCAGGGGACAAGGCCGGGCCAAGCAGGCCTGCCTTGCCCTCTGGAAGGAGCCTTTGCCGCAGGAGGGATGCTGGACGGGGCAGCTGGCTTTGGAAACGCTTTTGCGTTGGAGGAGTCTGGGGCCGGACGTGGCGCCCGGGGCCCTTTTCTTCCGAGCACGCAAAGACGGCACCCCGAGAGGGAAGCGTGTCTTGCAGAAAGCGCCTTGGCTGCACTCCTGTCTTCCTCCTCTCCAGGGAGCGTCAGAGTGAGGTGTTGTCCCCACAAGCAGCAGGAGACCGGGGGACCCCACGCAGGCCTCTCACGCGGCTGCCCATTCCCCGGAACTGGGTGCCACGAAAATACTCTTGTCTGGGGCGAAAGGATGCAGCGTAGAAAGAGAAAGCGCCCGCTGTTGAGAGGACGGCCAGCCGCACCCCATGGCTGTGGGACCCCAGGAGCTGGCCTAATTCAAGGTGAATTTTCCAGGTCTTGTGCCAGAGAAAGCAGCCCCACGAACGCAGGTTCCTGCTCGCCACCGCTGTCCAGTCAATGGGGGGAAAGCGTGAATTATCTCCCAAATTAACTGTGCATGAAATTGGATAGACAGAATGGCTCAGCCCACCTTTTATAGAAAAGATTTATTAATCCGCTATGACATCTCACAGAAAAGACAAACAGGAGCAGGACACTTGCTTGACGAGCCGGATGAGACACGGAATCCCTGAGCCACCATTTCTAAGGTGGGAAAACATGCGCACGTTGGAATCCGTTCCTCTGCAGGAGGGGCCTGCGTGGGTGTCGGAGAGCCCGTGGACAGGCCTCGCCCGCATCTCTGCCTGCATGGGATGTGGCGGAATGGAGGAACTAGCTCACCAATCTGAGAATGTTAGCTTTCTCTTTTAAAAAAGACAAGTTCCTGGTCCTCATGAACTGTCAGGTGCATTTGCAAACAAGCAAGCGGCCCACTTTACTGGCTACAGTACCAATGCTTCGTTCGCTAGCTTTATTGCCTTTGCTTCTCCTCCTGGCACCATAATGCACTTTTCATAAAACAAAACGTAGTATTCAGCCTGGGTCTTTGGCTAAGGTTTGAAGGAGGTCTTGAAGGATGTTTAGGAACACTTCACTTGAAGGCACAAGCAGCATATGTGAATTTAGCATGTCTCCACCCAAACCCCAGATCTTTTCCCACTTCTCAGCAAGCTTTATGCATTGCCACACCTCTTCTCCAAACATGGAACTTTATGTAGCCAACCTGGCACCATTCACACCAGAGGGAGAGATTTTAAAAAAAACTTTTAGGGAAAAAACACATTACAGATTTTTGGAACGTCCCAGCTGGCCTTAGTGGCACGTGGCCTGGCCAGATCTGAGGCACTACGAACTGTGTGGACATTTTCGTGGGGTTGGCCCCAGCCTGAGAGCGTGCCCTTGCCCTGAGCCCCGTGAGTTCCGCATGCAGTTTTGCAAATGAACGGGTGCTATTAGGTGCGTGGACTCCAACTCGGGGAGCTCCCTTTGCTCGGAAGACAACGGACGGCCTGGGCAGAGAAGAGTAACTGAGGGTTTGTTTCACTGTTCTGGAACTTGTATTACTGAGGACTAGTAGGATGCAAAGCAGGGCTTAAGGACTGGATTGGGAAGGCTCAGGTTCAGCTCCCCATTCAGCCATGACGCTTGCATAGGCAGAGATGGGCAAGGGCTGAAGACAAAACCTTCGCTGGGGGAATAAGAGGAGTGCTTGCCAGCCAGCCAGCGGCTCGCCAAGCCCCTTCTTGTGATCGCGGTACAGGCTCGTAAAGAGAACGCCCTGCTCCTTCGGGGACCGCTGGAAATACCCCAACAAGGCCTCCACGGTGGGTGTTAGGCGCTTGGGGAAGCGGCTGCACCCCACTCGGCCGGTCCCCGCCTCAGGGGACGGGCTGTCGGTTGTGACCCAGAGCTCAGAGCAACGTCGTTTCCTTTTCGGTGATGGAATACTGCCTTGTGAAGCTCCTGCGAGAGAGCGAGCCGTGGACCGTCTCCTCGCTCAGGGCGTTTGCCAGCCGGGACAGGATGGCCACCTTGAAGTTCTTGAAATCCTGCCCCATGAAGACGTAAAGGACCGGATTCATGCAACTGTTGGAGACGGCGATGGCCGTGACGATGGGCAGCCCGACCCTCAGCAGGGACGGCGGGACCAGGTGGTGCTGCGTCTCCAGCAGGTGGAACACGTGGTAAGGGCACCAGCACGAGAAGAAGATCACTATCAGGGCCACGATGATCCTCAGGGGCTTCTTGGACTTGGCGAGGCGGTTCCGCCTCAGCCGGAAAACGATGACCAGGTAGCACGCCGTGATGACGGCCAGGGGGACGACGAAGCCGGCCAGGAAGCGGGCGACCGTCACCGCCAGGTGCCGCGTCCTCCCCAGCTGGGCGTCCGACTGCGACTGCGACAAGGAGAAGTTGTTGAAGCAGGCGATGGCATTGTGCTTCACGAAGACGTCGCGGAAAACGAGGGAGGGGGAGCTCATCAGGAAGCCGAGGGCCCAGATGAGCGCGCAGAGTGCCCACGCGAGCTTGGGGCTCCGGTGGTTCTGGGCCCAGACGGGGAAGACGACCGAGACGCAGCGGTCGAAGCTGATCATCGTCAGCAGGAAGACGCTGGTGTACATGTTCAGGTTGAGCAGCAGGGAGTTCACCTTGCACATGCACCGGCCGAAGGCCCAGTGGTACCCCATGGCTGTGTAGGCGATGTTCAGCGGCAGGAAGACGTTGAAGAGGAAGTCGGCCAGCGCCAGGTTGAGGAACCAGACGGTGCTGGTGGACTTCTTCATCTTGAGCGTGACCATGGCGATGACCAGGCCGTTGCCCAGCAGGCCCAGGAGGCAGGTCACGCTGTAGATGCCGACGGGGAGGACCTGGAGGAGGAAGCTGGTGCTGCGGGACGACTCCAGGGTCGGGGGGGCCTCGGGGGTTGAGTTCTGGCCCTCCAGGTAGAAGTAGTCTTCATAGTCGTAGCTGAATACCGTGACAGGGGTCACTGCGGAGGTGGCGTTACGAGTCAGGTCCGAATAGCCGTCCATGACCTGGGGGAACACAAACGGGCCGAAAGGTTAGCTGGGTGGGCGCAACTCGCTGGGCACAAGGACCGAAGACTGGCTGGTGGGGCACTTGGGCAGAAAAGTCCAAGATCCCGGCGGGCCGTGAAGCCGGGGTGCAAGGACCTGCAAGCCTTGGGCTGCGCTCGCACAAACAGCCGTTCTGTGGGAGCTGCGCCCCTAAAAGCCACCTCTGCTTGGCCAGGACTTCAAGCGGCGCTGTGATATCGGGGTCGACTTGCGGCTCCCTTCGGCAGAGTTCATCTCCACTGACGAGCGGCCAGCGACCTCACGGCACAGCTTTGTCCGACCCTCCGGCCACTTGATGGGAAAGGATGCACAAATAAGCAGAGTTTGGGGCAGGTCTTTGTCCTGGAGGAACTTGGTGCTGGAATTTGGCGGAGGAACAGACAACGAAAAGAGCATCTGGAAAGCTACAAGAAGGGTAACAGGAACGGGTAAGTATGAGCAGTGTTGGGAAAATTCAGATAAATCCTGGCAGAAAAGTGTTGCTCCTATGAGCCCGTGTGTTATAAAATCAAACCTGCACGCCTACGAGCTGCCGGGGCTGGTTGTGGTGCTGATCAGCAAGAACCGGTCAGGCTGACAGGCTGCCAGCATTGCAATCACCCTCATTTGCATGCCAAGACCCACCGCGACCCCCGTGCCTCAGTGATCCTTATCTTACTCTCCTGCAGTCAAATGCCATTGTATTGAGCCCCCTCTGCAGACCCCTCACCTTCTTCTGACTGTGCTCCCCTTATTTCGTCATCCACTGCCCAGCTGCTGGGCCCACGTGACTCAGAATCTACCAAACACTCTGTGCGTGTCCTAAAGGCGTGTTCCTGGGGTGGAGACCACTAAGTCAGTCACTGCAGGGGGCTGGGGATTCAGTCTTCCATGGGGTCCTGGTGATTCATTCTCACCATTAGTAAAGAGACTGGCAGCGGCAGAAACCTTACTGCACAGAAGTTTTTAAAGAAAGCCAGTTGTGGCATCCGGCTGAATGACTGTTCCGACGGGCACCTTTAATTGCCGGGGGGGGGGGCATGGTGGGCCGGGAGGGGGCCGGCAGAGCCCCTTTCTGCATCCGGAGAAGACGCACGGGGGGGGGGGGGCGCTCTT